GCGCTGGTGTTTTCAGACCAATCCCGGGGCCATAGGAATGGCCTTATGAAATCATATAAAAACAGAGCCACGCCCCCTCTCCCACTAACACACACAAGCTTTCCGAAGACTAACTTCGCCCTGCGTGGCGTTATTGTTGAACTTGTGTTGTTCCCTTGCATAGAGTCAGGCGATTTGGCCGACTCCCTTCGTTCTTGACTTGGTGTATCCATTGTTAAGGTTTGTACTTTGATTATCCCTTACTATTTGTTTAAAAGTACCGTACCACCTTGATAGTTGTTATTACGGGTTTTGACGTACGCGTGACTGCTGAATACAGTCAGAGAAGTCAAGAGACGAAACAAAGGCTCTAAACTACGCCTGACTGCTCCTCAGATTTAACCAGTCTTTGATTTTTGCGATGCTCTTGCGAATGGTAGCTTTGAGCCGATGTGCGATTTCAACGTCTAGTATCACAGCAAAGCGCTCGGTCTCCTCTGACACGCCCTTAATATATGGCAAAGCATAATACATCACCAGTGCTCTTTCCTCCGATGGCAATCACGTAGGCACTAGTTTACAAGCGTCTTCGGATAGCCATTCCGTATAAATTGGTCGCGGAGGTATCGGGGATCATGTGCTTTTTCTTACAGGCCTCTGAAATGAGTATTGACCCGTTCGATTAGTATTCTAACGAGTCACCTAGTGCCTTCTGTGAAAGCGCACAAGCTTCATGGTATTCGTTACTTTCTTGTAAACAGTCATCTCTGTTTCTTCCTCGGGACTTGGACAACTGGGAAGAAAAACCACGTGTGCCCGATATCTTCGTTAACAGACTAATACGAATATCTGTATAAGCCGATGCCTACGCGTTTGACACTAGGGGACCAAACCGGAAACAACACTCGGCATGCTCTGTCATAAATCAAGGACGTGCCAGAGGCGACCGAGCGCGTTGCTGCGATATTAGGTATTGGAATTGCATAGAGGCACCGCACGAAAATGCGCAAATGGGTCATGAAAAGCAAGGACTGATTAGATCCCATTAAACAATCGGGCGTACTGTATCGCATCCCGTGCGTAAATTGTCAGACTGGAAACATGTTCGGATCGCGCATACACGAACATGAGCGCGGGATGAATGCCCACAAATAACTGTCCAGACCTTAGAAACGGATCAAAAGTTTAACTTTGCAGTCATAAAGATAATTGCTGACACCAGAAGAAAGAAAAGTTGAGAGTTCTCAGGTGAGAACTAATTCGATCGATTTATCGATCTGGTGCCGGTAAACAGGGCCCTGTGCAATAACCTGCGTTACCGATGGTCGGTTGAATAATGTCCACTATAACCGTCGCTTGTCGTTGATGCTTCGTCCTCTGATGATGGAATGCTCCATGACCTTGAAAGCTCAGAAAAATAAACGAACTGTTCCCACGTACAACCAGCCTTCATCCCGTATCATACCTACATTCGGAATTCGAGCATTTGCGTCGAGTATATAAAACAGCTGTGGGTCTCTTTGTTTGCGATGATTGAAGTATTGCATCTGAGTTGACCTTTTAGACAAACTTATAGAATACGAAGCAGTCTATCGTGAAATGAAAAATAGGAATATCCCAATAGTTACAAGCCAGTAAAATAAGAACAAAGCCTTTGGCAACTGAGACATGGAATTATTCTCGTATGTCATTCAAAATTGTAGTAAGTTTATAGAAAGCATATTTTAACTCAATAAAACAAAAATGTGTTTTAGATAACTACAAATTAGTCCTTAACATGACTTGTGGTGGGAGCTGTAATTTTCAGGACCTTTGATCACTGATCTTGTTCGGCGTAAAAGTCGTTCTTTTCCTGTCAGCAGACAGCACTGTCATATTCCTATTCGTTTTCCGTTTACAGGTGAGTCTGTTTGTCACTGACAGACAGTTTATCACACAGAACTGGTTTCTATGGCTCTTAACAAAATGCTCCAATATGCAGCAACGAGGTCGAGGGACTTAGCATCGCTATGACTGGATACTTCAAACTTCAGCAGGTAGGATGCGTTAAATCGCGTTTCTGATTTGGTTAGACTGTAGGAATCACGTTTGTGGCCTCATATTCAGCAGGACACGGGAACAAGAACCATCCGTAAGACAGGCGACTTAGCACTCCAATTAAGAGAATTTAGGGTTACGGTTAACGGCGAGGTTTAGGTTAGATTTATTATAAAGGTTGTGTTAGTGTTGGAGTAAGGGTTACGGTCACGGGAATATTTACACCCTCTGGAGTTTAGCGCACGGCCAATCTTATTGCGGGTGGGAGAGGAGAAGCATATAAACAGTCCTGACCGACTACACCGCTGTTCTGCTTCCAAACTTTTATAAACTGGACAACAACATTTTCCTTGATACTCAGTCCACCAGAAAGGAGTACAGAGAACAGTATATGTCATTCACGGGCGCTGTTGTCTTATAAAGGCGGCATTGTGGCTTTAACATCAAGGTAGCGGCAATGCTACCAGACTGAGCAGAGCTTGAGCCATCCCAACAATCGCCTGATGGTTTGCAGATGGACCTGCTTTAAAACTCGCCTCTTAAGGATCAAAGTGTAGTGCTGCAACCCGGACAAGGCGGCATTAGGACTCCGATATGGAACGACCAAGCCTCAAGCAACGACTACCTTCAGATATGCAAAAAGCTATATCCGCACTGGTTCACGCAGATGAAGAAAAAAAAGGGAGGTACAGACCAAAGTTTCGGCACTGTCACAGCATATCTCACGTGTGTTTCATGCTACCGAACTGAGTGCCAAACAACTATATTGTTATAGAAGTATCGGGTGGATCACAGAATAAACAAATTCAGGTAAAAAACAACGCATGTCCCCTATTGGATTCCGTACACACGCGATAGAGGCGAGCTCACGAAAACAAGAAGGGAGGGCGGGTGCTCGCTTCTCGAAGTCATACTTGCAAATATAGTGTCGTCAACGTTCAAGAAGAGAGAATGCGGGCTACTAGAAGTCAGTAGCTCTTAGTATTTCTTTTATTATCCTTCGCCTGTGACACATTTAGTCCTGCTTGCCGGCAGAGAAACCGTAAGTGACGAATGATTTTGCAGCACCACTTGCCAGTAACCTTATAGTATACTTACTGACACGGCTTACGTAGTCATCATTACGCTAGTTTGCTTCTCTTGGCCAGTTATGGACAAGGGGTTTGGGGTGAGTTGTATAGTGTAGAATTAGGTAATTTTGCGCATAGGAGTATGGGGTTAGGTTTAGGGAGCACTGGCCTAGGGATTAGCGTTTAAGATTGGGACTAGAACATTGTGGTTTAGGTCAGCGGTTAGGTAATATGAGATTTGGATTCGGGCTGGAGTTAGGGGTATTGAGTTGTGGGTTAGTAGTGAGCATTAATAATTAAGGTTATTTGCTCGGGTCAATAGTTAGGATTAAATGTCTGGGTTTGTAGTCAGGAGTTGGCAACTAGGACTAGTAGTTAGAGTTAACAGTTAGGGCTTGAAGTTGAAGTTAGCAGTTTGTCTTAACCCTTAACCCAACCACAATTTCCTGATCCCAAACTTAGTCTCTAAGGCCTTAGTCCAACACCTCTAAACTTAACTTCCTACTTCTATTACCAGGACAATCTAATCGAAACTTTGCGAAAAACGCAAAACCCCCATCCATAACTGCCCCAGGGAACGCAAGTCAGCATAATAATGGCTAAGTAATGACTACTCAAATAATTTGAGTAAGCACCCAATTAGGTAATCATCAGGCAACCGTATGCCTTACTAGGGGCCCAGCCGACCGACATGGTCTGCGATGTTCCGAAGGCTGCCCATTGGTCAGCGTCTTTTGTTAAGTAGTTCCGGAATTGGACTCCTCCTCTTCGGATTCCGGGTTTCGTCCTTTTCTTCTTTTTAACCTTCCTTTTGCTTTTCTTATTTTTGCTCTCCTTTACAAGACTAGCGACCTGGCCCCTCCACCTTTATTTGTAATAAGTAATTAAACAATTTTTGACGAGCT